GACTTCAGTACACTACTCATAACTAGTAATAAGATGACAGACACTGAACGGAAGCTAAAGAGGGTATCATATTTTGGTCTGAATAGGAGAGGTTGGGAACCACTGATCTAGAGCAATGATTCCCGTAGATATGAGCATAAGTATATGGACTACATGAAATCATTAAATGTCAACTTTTGTGCCAAGAGAAAGGTACCACACTGAAGGTAAATTTGTAACTCGCTGTTTTTTTTAATTTCTATAAGTAGAGGCTCCGCATAATGTGGAAAACTGTTCAAGGATTCTGCCAAAGCAAGGAGCTAGAGAATCATTAATATAGACAGAAAACTGGATCCATTTCTTGGAGTCGTGATAACCAGTCGCTCTTGGTAACCAGTGTTCTTATACTAGATTACTTTTTTCTCTAAAGCAGACAAATCCAACATGATCTTACCGGTTGTTGGGTGAAATCTTGAAAGGAGGACCGTATGAAGGAGGACATATTAAAGTAAATGCATTAAAGAAGCTCAATTGATTCAGAAAACTGTCTGGATTAAGTGAAAGTAAAGCCATATTCACCTAAAAGATACACCCACAGTGAATCAAACGCTGAACGTACAGTTGTCAATATAACCTCTTCTATTCCGTCGTTCTTGTCAAAAAATCTAGTCTTTTGATAATTCCTCAATGGAGCTGAACGAGCGGTCATGTGTGCTGCTCTTTGTTATAGGTGATTAAGCTTATCGTTGTTGAAATGAGGTTTCAGATAGTTTCCCTCAATTCCACAATGATTTTAACTCGTCGTAATGAAATGATCTTACCATCTATTCGTGTGTAGGGTTGTGCGTAATATGTATTAATGCTGGCGGCGGGAGTATCATTGAAAGTTGAAGAGACTGAAAACCAAAACCATTTGATTCATGTTTATATTCTTGTCCCATCCCCAATTGGAATTAGGATACATTATTCCTGAACAATCTTCATTTTCACAGCAAGTGATCTAACTTTTTCATTCTCTAGAATTAATTTTAAAAAGGAAAGGAATCTCTATCGTATCTCTAATAAATTGTAAACCTGCTTTTACACAATTTGAATGTTCTTGTGTTTTGTATTAAGGATTTACAGCATGACAATGGTTTTACAAATAAACGATAAATAGATGAATGGAAATTAGGCAAGCATTGGGCCATTGGCCGATATGATCTTTGTGTTTCTTGGTTGGTCAGCCGTCGCAGGATGACGATCGCAGCATCCTTGCGGCTGAAAGCAGCTACCGGGCGCGGATCCTACAGGACAACCTTGTGAGGCCCCGTTCACGCCATTTTGCTTATTTTCATTGTTTCGACCTGACAAAAGGTAGTTGGCTGGTTCTTTTTACTAGGGTGTTGACCTAAGATCCCTCCTCAGGTGAGTAGTTGGTTAGACAACCGTTGTTGATGATTCCTAACCCACTATCGTATATACGATGCAAATCCGTGCGTCCGCCTGTTTGTGCGTCAGTACACGCTCACACATGCACGCACGCGCAATGTGTATGTATGAATGTACACATACATGCGGACGCGCACGGATTTTTATACGCATACATATATATATGTGTATATATATATATATATATATATATATATATATATATATATATATATATATATATACATATATACATACATATATATATACATATATACATGTATATATACACATATATACACATATATATGCACACAAACACACACATTATTGATTATAATATTACCCTCATATCCTTATTATTATTGTTATTGTGAGGTGCTCTTTTACTCTGTGGTTATTGATATATATATTGGTGTGGGTTCACAGTGTCTAGATGTTATGCCGTGGTAGCGTGAAGCATCTAGGCACAAACAAACAAGCAAACAAAGAAAAAAAAGACTGAGTATAATCATCAACTCCTTGACGTTCAGCCTATGGATTTTCTTTTTATACAGGCTAGAATTTGTTTAGCGTTTATTTATAGTTACCAGAAAAGGTAAAGTGAAATGCTTAAGTGCATCTCGAAAACATTTATGTTTAATAGAATAATACAAAATATTGGTTAAAACCACTCCTTACGAGTCTTAATACTGAATAAAAAGTAAAGTAATTATGATTAACTGATTAAGATTATTTAGCCATGTATGTGAAACAAATAAGAGAGAGAAAAAAAGGATCACGTCCAGCTCCTCAGAAAAAATAAACGTCAGCAGACAGAACTTAACTTCTCTCGGTCTCTGTAACCTCTTTGGTGTATGCTTCACAACGCTCCAGCTCCCACAAGGGTATTGACACACAGGGTATCTGGTCCAGACTGGGTATATTTCGCGCCGTTTTTGGCGGTATTTATAGTGTTCGTGACGTCATGAACTACGTCACGAACTATACATCTTTCATATTTATAAAATTGTAGATTTTACCCTACAGGTTAAAACATATGGTATTGCAGTGTAAGAAGAAAAAGAAAAAATAGGTCCAAGTTAAATTAGAATTTTAAATATCGAACAAAAAGCTAAAAGCAAAAGATGAGTATGAAACACTCGAAAGATTAGATAATAAAGAAATGAAATAAAATAACAATTAAATCAAGATACATACACAATCAAGTAAAACAGATTTTCGTGTCTCAAGAACTAAACAAATACAAAGACTGTAAAATCGAGCAAAAAACAAACAAACAAACAAACAAACAATCAAACAAAAGAAAAGAAAACGGCTATAAAAAAGGAGAAACTTAACTAAAACTACAAAAACAATCGCCCAAAATAAAAGGCTAAGTGAAAATATTAGACTTCCCCCAAAAGATAAGGAGCGAGCAAGCGAGTTCCGGGCGACGGGAAACGAGAGGCGAGGGGATGCTCTCGAGAGGAGGAGGACTAGGATGTCGTCTTACATTATCATTAACTGGATAATTACGTTAACATTATTATCATCAATGACGTTATTAACATATCATTATCAACATTATTATTAATATTTTTATTACTGTTATTATTATCATTATTATTATTATTATTATTATTATCATTACTTTTTATTATTATTATTACTATTATTATTATTATTATTAATATTATTATTATCATCATCATCATCATCATCATTATTATTATTATCATTATTAGTATTAGTATTATTACTACTTTCATTATTATCGTAATCATCATTATTAATATTACAATTATTATCGTCATCGTACATTGTCATTATTATTGATGATATTCTTTGCAACCTCTTTGGTGTATTATCTACTTATAATTACTACTTATATTATATTTATACAAGTATTCAATATTGAGCATTATCTATATTTAATATTATCTTTATTTACATATTTTCTCGATAATCTTATCGAGAAAGGAGAAATTCACACATACACACCCGCACTACCCGGCAAGTATAGAACAATGAATTAATGAATTAATGAATTATGGAAGGGTAAAGATTGTGTGTTAGCTGGATTGCTATCGCCATATACCTTCATCAAGGTATATGACGATGTCTGGAATTTTCCTAGACACAGAAGTGCAGATTTAAGAGGTGTATCTTTAAGGAGGATGCTTTGGGAAGTTGAAAACATGATAACGCACCTATGCATGGGTAGCATAGAAAAATGAGATAGAAACGGAGGTTTTTGTGTTAGCTCTATATATAGAGTTTGTACATTTCATTCATGTTTTATGTGTGTAAGATGTTATAATGACCGAGTAATATATTCTTGCAATGCGTTCGTCACGGAGGGTGCCAATATCAGCTTGAAAATGCCTTTCTGAAACTGGCCCACCGTTGAAAATAGATAAAAGTTTGTATGCTATCTAAACGTCAATTGTTTTTTTTTTATGTTGTATGTCTTTATCATTGTACATTGGCCCAATTATTTTCTTTAGTGGCTCAATGTAGGAAAATATTTATATGATGGTGAGACAATGATGTTGCAAACCGTGTGTTATGCTGTATGCCATTACCATCGTGTTGGCCCAAGTCCGCCTTACTGAAATTGGCCCAACATGGAAGTCTGATGAAAATAAGATATCGGCAAACCAGGATGTCGCCGTAATCTGTTGCCGTAATGTACTTATTCAGTGGCCCGAAATTGCCATAATGAAATTTGCCCATTGTGGAAACTAGGTAAAGTTTATGCATTGGCAAGACACAATGGTGCCGTGATCCATTTGTTATGCTGCATGTCACTAGCATTGTATATAGGCCCGAAACTGCCTTCATGAAATTGGCTCAGTGAGGGAAATAGATCATGTTTATATACTTTCAAAACATAATGATGCCGTAATCTGATTGTTATGCTGTATGCCATTATCATTATGTGTTGCCCAGAAATTGCCTTACTGAAGTTTATTTATCAGATAGACATAATGGCGTTGTAATCTGTCTTATGTTGTTTGCCATTATTATTGCATATTGCCCAAGAACTGCCTTTCTAAAAGAGGCCCAGCGTAGGAGATAGGTGAAAGTTATATACAGGCAAGACATAACGATGCCATAAATCTTTTGTTGTGCTATATGTCATTATGATTGTGTTTCGGCCCAAAATAATTTCACCCAAATTGGCACAACATGGAAAGTAGATAAAGACTACACGTCGATGAGACATAATAATAACATAACTTGCAGGTTATGCTGTATGCTATTGTAACTATATATCGGCCCGACATCACTTAGCTGACATTGGCCCAGCATAGAAAATGGAGTTTATATATTGGCCAGATATGTTGTCGTAATCTATTTATGTTTTTCGCCACTATACTTCTATATTGAAAATGGAAAAATTTTGTTATAATGGAAAAATTTTGTTATAAGACGTTCCCATATTGTTTTCCCCGTTATTTGCCAGCAGTGGCCCGTAATTACGAGGTTGGCTTACACACACATAAACACACACACGCATGCACGCATACGCACACACACACACATACACATATATATACATGTATATATATATATATATATATATATATATATATATATATATATATATATGTGTGTGTGTGTGTGTGTGTGTGTGTGTGTGTGTGTGTGTGCACATACACACATATATAAGCATGTATATACATACACACATACATACATATATACAGTGCCCACAAAAAAATGTATATTGACTTTTGTAGTGGAGTTTGTTTGCATAATTTTATATCTTACATTTAGTACTTGATCATGTTCCCTCTCTGCTGCAAAACTATCTGTGGATTCAGGAAGATCGACAGAACAGGAGACACCACTAGCTTTTTCAGTGTCTCTAGGAGATCTTTGATGTTGTTAGGCCTGTTTTTTTAACTTTGTTCTTCATGATGTTCCATCCGATTTTATGGGTTTCAGTTGAGGTGACGTACCTGATTACTCTAATACATTAATTACACTGTCATTTAGTAACTTTTGGACTGTGTCTGACTCGGGGAAAGTAGCGTAATCACTTCCCCTTGCTGATGCATTCTTTAGAAGAAAGTATGGACCTCGCCTACCCTTATATCCAAGGAGAACCATCCCAAACCATCGCACTGCCCGCACGATTAACTGTATTGAACTGTGCATTTGGGATCACAGGGCGACGCACGAAATTTAAAATTCCTCTCACTTGTCTGAAAGTCCTTTCATTACTCAGCATCACTTTTTGCCAATCGGACATCATCTAGCGTTGAAACTTCTTGCTTTTTTTTGCTTTTTTTTTAGATTTTTGAGTAGAAGCTTCACAGTTAAGCGCCGAGTCGGTAAACAGAGGTCTTTCTGGAGGCGATGCTGGATGGTCCTTACTGACACGTCCTTGGGGAGATCTAGATGCTTCTTCTTAAATGCTGATGCTGTTATAGTAGGTTCGGACATCACTTTAGGTTTGAGCTTTGTGTCTGTTCTTGTCAAGTTTTCCTTGGTGCTCCTGAACCATTTTTCTTGTTTTACTTCTCCGGTTGCTACTGTGACAGCAGCCTTTTCAGCCTCTTAAAATCTTCATATTTGCAAATATCGCATTGGAGACAATTACAGTTCTAATATCGTGAATTAACGTGTTTTCTTGTTAATGTCATTTGTTTCTACTCATTCTGTTAGTCTGAACTGGAATTGCAAGTTGTCAAACTTGACATTCTAATGAGGAAATTCTGACCAGATGATCTAATGTTTAATCATTCATCAATCGTAGACAATCACTCACTGGCATAAAACAAAACATTTAGCGAGAAGCCAAGGCCATGAGCTGGCCAAACACGCAACACAAAACTCCGATAGTGCTGAGTCGACTGACGTCACTGGATGAACGTTCTTCTCGGAACGCAATGTTAACGTTTCTTGGAGATGAATTTGTAAACTTTTTGCGCCCACTATATTTGTATGAGGAGCAGCTCCCTACC